CTTGCGGATCATTCTAAGCTTTTCTAAATCGGCAATTCTTTGAAGATCCGGTTGTTTTCCTGGTTCAGGGACCGTATCTTCGGGAATGGGAGGGAGGCTTGGGTCCATAACATAGTAGAGTTGTAACACCATGAGCATAAATTTCATTTTGTCCGCCCAACGAGCAAATACCAATCCTTGAACCCTCCATATCAAAGACTGGAAACTCCAATTTTATAACTCTATTCACCAAGTAATACCCTGAATTACTCACATTTTCCTCTTCGTACTTGTTAATTTCTTCTTCATGAATCCTTTAACTCGAAACAAAGGTTCAGGTTCGTCCTCCTTTTAAACCTCTTCCATGCCCTGTTAGCAACAACTTGATCCCCTGCGTCAATTCTACTATCTTGGACAAGAGAGATTCAAGGATTCATCATATCCATCCATCTTCTTGCTTAACTCCTGCTTTCTTTCTCCAATCTGAGCGTTGGTCGCCATCTCTTTACACACAAGTTGACCATAACCGACTTTGGTGTTTTGATTAGTCCAATGTTTAATCAAGAAATAGGGTTATAGTCGACAAAATTCAAAAAGAAAAGATAACAGTTTTGACTATGGTTCTATGAGTATTCAGGGCCTTCACTCATCTTTGAAATCAATTAGATTAAGGGCATTTGTTTCTTTATCAGACATATAGTATTCGAGATCCAAGAATAAAAGTTTTCGTCTACAAATGCACAGTTCAGTACATCCCATGTTGGTGGGGACGATAATTTTGGTTTCGCACAGCTTCAGCTTCAGGTTGATAGGGAGGCTTGCTTCTAATTTGGGATTCTTATCAGAGACTATGAGGGGAAGAAGACTGTCATTGGTATTAATAGACAATAGTGAAGTTGGTTTTGTTGAATGATCCTCCTTACTTTTATCCTCTATTTCAATTATGTGGTGCATGGTCTTTGGAGATTTTAACGAGGTTAAGAATCCTTGTGAGAGGGTTAACTCTCAGTCAAATGGACCCAAGAAGCATGGCATATTTTGTTTCTGTCAAACCTTGTTGATGTTCACATGGGGTGGTCGGAAATACACTAAAATTAGTTAAGATTTTGGTGAATTAATACTTCCTGCAGGTGTGAAATTGGTCTTTGGTCATGGCATTAGACATAAAAGAAGTTTTCGGATCAGTGTCCCCTCATTTTGCAAGGCCATTTGGTAGTTCTAAACCATTCTGGTTCTTTAACTCGAGAAAGATTAAGAGGATGATGTAAAAGATGCTTGGTCTTCCACTGTTCTTCCTTGTCGTTTTTCGGATACAATTCTCCTAAGACTTATTTGGGTTTCAGACAATGAAGTTGCTGCATTGGCCTCATCCTTCAATTGTAGTTACAAAAGGCTCCGCTTTCACTTATTTAAGTCTCCAATACGAGAAACATGAGTCGTGTTAACAGTTGGGACCCGTATGCTGAAAACTTCTGGCACAACTCTAAACCTTAAACCCTAAAGAGTTTAGCTTTCTTCCTAAAGATCACGGATGTTTTCGTTTAGGGGTCAAGTCAATTTTTGGAAGTATGTCTTTGTATTAGTTCTCCCTCTTTTGTGCTCCGGGCTGGGGACAAATAATTCGAATAAAGTAAAATGGGCTCTCCGTTCCTTCAGTTTGGGTGGGATTAATCTTGGGACTCCTAATTGGAGTTGGTGGGCAAATGGTTGTGGCTCTTTGACGAAGGTAGTGACACATCAACTATATATTAGAAGGGTACTCGCGCACTGCAGCGAGACACATCTTGATTTTATTGTTTCGTTTTATATTTTGGGTCTATTGATGTTATAATACGACTTTATGTGGTTTTGAGGAAAAAAAATGTTTTTATTTTTGAATGAAATATAAATTTGAAGATATTATAAAATTTTGAAAAAAAACAATATTAGTATCAAATTAACTATTTAAAAGTTCTTGTTTTTGTGTAATTTTTTAATTCAAATTTTTATTATAATTTAACTGAAGTTTAAAATTGAACTAATTTATTTTTGGTTTAATAAAATAATTTATTTAAGATAATAATTAAGTATTCTGTTAAAACTCAATGATTATCTTAATTACGTTTTGGATTTTTTATATTTAAAATGAGATATTTATCCTGTATTTGATTATGTTTATCCGCAGTTAGTTACACGAGTTCAAACATGGAGTTTTAATAAGTTGTACTTATGCATAATTTACTTATAATCTTGAATTTTAAGTAATATGCATCAATATACAGTACTTTATGCATAAAAAATGATTTTTAAGAACTTTGGCCAAATGCTTTATAATATAGTATAGATATATGAGGTTGGGGCAATCTTACCTTTTCTCCCTTTTTATTTAATTAATTTTAAGTTTCATCAAATAATTAATTCCAATTTTTTAGGGGCATTTGGTTCATAGAATGGTTTCTAAGTAAATAAAATTTGTCAAATAAATTGGAATTTGAAAGGAATTGGAATGAATTATTATTAGGTTTGACCAAGTATTTGTTTGGTAAGAATGAAATGTAATTTATCTAATGATTTGGAATTTGTTTGTTTGGTTTGCAACATAATTGAAATGGAATTATGAAAAAAACTTTTTCTTTGATAATTTTTAATTTTTTTTAACGTCGATTAGAAGCAGTGTTCGATTCAGAAACAGTGTTCGGTTAGAAACAGTGATAATTTTTAATTTGTTTGGTTTACAAATTTTTCTTCTTCTTCAACGTCGGTTAGAAACAATGTTCGATTCAGAAGCAATGTTCGATTCAACGTCGTCAACGTCGGTCAGAAGCGGTGTTCTTCTTCTTCAACGTCATTAACGAAAGCAGTGCTCGATTCATGGATGTCCATCGATATAAGTTCTAGTTGTTCAATGCTTTCCCAATGAAGTTTAGGATTAGGACAAGGATGCGAAATTGTTACTAAACATGGAAAGCATTGAATACTACTTCCATTTAATCGAACACTGCTTTCATGTTCAGTAACGATTTCCCAATGAAGTTTAGGATTAGGTCACAATTTTTTCGATTAGAGTGGAAGCAGTATTCAATTAACACAATTTTCGATCGGAGTGGAAGTAGTGTTCAATTAACACAATTTTCGATCGGAGTGGAAGTAGTGTTCAATTAACACAATTTTAGATCGGAGTGGAAGTAGTGTTCAATTAACACAATTTTTGATCGGAGTGGAAGCAGTGTTTGAAATTGTTACTGAACATGGAAGTAGTGTTTGATTAACACAATTTTTCCTCGGAGTGGAAGCAGTGTTCGATTGGAGTAACAGGTAGAAGCAGTAGATAGAATGAAGCGGCTAGGGTTATAAAGGTCTAATGAGGATATTTTTGTCATTTATACAATTTTGGATGGAATTGATTTCAATTCCATTGGTTTTAGGAAGGAATGGTGATATCCTCAAATGAAGGAACTTTTGGAATCCAATTACATTCCATAGGTACCCAAACGTTGGAAATTTGGCCAACGGAATTAACCATTCCAATTTTATCAGATTCCGACGGATTCCGACGAATCAAACGCCCCCTTAGTTTCTTTTTCTTATCCTTTTCCTTTTTTTTATTTATTAATTTCATATTTCTATAATTAATTATAACATGTGTGTATGCATAATTTCAAATTTTCTGGTCATATTGTCAACAATATTTTTTATATTTTTATTTACAAATGTTTTGTTAAAGACATTATAAAATCAAATATCAAAGTAAACGAAATCAACATTGATATCTTTATATAAAATCTCTACATATATAGATCAAGATTTTTAAGTCATAGATTTTTGTAATGTTATGTTTATCGTTTGAGCTATGAATTCTGTTTTTCGTCCATATCATATGTCTTACGTTAACAATTCTTTTGAATATTTTCACATTACAAATTGAGTACATTGCTTTCAACATCAACTACCCCC